TCCTTCAAAGAGAGTTTTATTGTGAAAGAAGGGGGCACCATGAATTTCCCATAACCTTGCTCCCCGGTCAGATCTATCAGGTTATCTGAATGGGGTCTCTTGGTCCTCAAGCTCACTGAAAGAGGAGAATCATGCTCAGTAACCGGTCCCAACAAAGAAGTCCCCGACTCTGTCGGAGGCGCATCTGGTCTATCAGCACCTAAAATCCTCTTGGAAATCCCTTTCTGTGCTTTCTTGGCCTTTGACAAAAAATTCTTGAGCATGTGCTCCTGAGGAGTAGACATTTTTCTGCAAAAAAACAAACACGAACTAGCGAAACATGGTTATCAGAGTAAGGGTCGGTCAAAAAACAAAACAACTACCTAAATACTTTGTAGAGTCCTCGCATTCGAGGAGCTCTGTGATATTTATGAGCCCAGATTTAAAAATTGGCTTCCCATCCTCATTGAAGATGAGGCTCCCCCCCTTGCCCACACCCTGGACTAGGGGTATTCCCTCGACAAATGACAATAGTCGGTCATAGCTACCCTAGTCTTCAGGGTTCACCTGGCTCGCCTTCATAATGTAATGATCGGTCCCATGATCAAAATGCTCCTTGTTCCAATGAAAGTTGAACCTCTGTACCAACTCACTCCTTGGTTCACCCTCCTCGGTCAACATCTGCTCCCCGTCCTTGCCCCGTTTGGGGACACTCATGATAACATTCAGAATCACCTTCTCTGACACGGGCTAGACCAATAAGTACATGTTCTTGAAATGTCATACAGACTCAAGGTAGGCCTTGAAAAGCTTCCTGTTATCCTGCTTCAAGGAGACCCATCTGAATTGATTGCCAACTGTACCCCTCTGAAGATAAAAGCAGTAGAAGAACAAAGGGACAGTGGCCCCAATCTTCAAATAATCACATACAATCTCAAAAGCTCGTAGGAAGGCTATCGAGTTAGAGTGAAGTTGCGAGGGAACAAGACGAAGATAGTAAAAAACGGCCACCTGTAGGTCGGTGAAAGAAAGATGGAAACTCATGTCCTTGAAAAAGATATCGTACATAGGGAAATGATTCACATCATACTTTGAGTAGCTGCGGTGATGCTTCCCAGCGATGTAGACAACCCATTCCTCCTCGGCATTCTCTTGCATTGTCCCCGCGGCCACAATTGTAAACACTTCATCCGGATGCTCGATGAAATATGAGGAAATCTCTCAAAGAGCCGGTGTGACCCAGTCCATGGAAGCCACGGGGGTCTAGGGCACATTCTACTCGGGTTGAATATGTCCCGACATGCTCGGCTCAGAACCTTGTTTCCCAGACGTACTCTCTTCGGTCGATGTACACTAGGATAAACTTTGATGGCCTTCACTTTACTCGCTCATAACTTCATCTTCAGTGCTACTAGCCATTTTACCTGAAAAGCAGGGGACAAAAGTGAATTTGACATCAAATCAAATCCACCATTCCATCGCTAATTAAGTGAAATGGTGTGCAGAGGAATGATGAACTTGTCCCCAACCAGAGCCCTCACTTAAAAAACAAAAAACAAGCACAAATATAGTTCCCTCTAACGCATTGGACGCCTTCTCGCGAGGATAAACCCTAACCCGGGTGAGGAGTAATCTCCTCGACAGCTGGATTTTAAACCTCACTCGAGGGTTCATCAGAAAACACATGGAGATCATCATATAAACCTAGAAACGGCCCAAAAGCTCATCGCAACTTGTCGTTGTCAGCCTTAACGCCAAACATTCCCAAAGGATTCACGGTGGAACTGATATCCTCATGTGGTAAAACCACAGTCAAACGACAATAAACCACCAGAAATTTCCGCACTAAGCTACTTTAATCCTAACCAAATCCATATCTAAAATAAAAATCAGAAAATCTAACCTAGAACTGAGATGAATTTCACACAAACAGGGAAAAATTAAAGAACTTACTGGGAAAGGAAAAAATAAACGTCGGAACGGGCAGAAACTCCAATGGTGAGCAACGGAACGGGAAGAAACTTTGGCGATGAACGAAGGAGCTTTGCAGAACTAGCAGAAACGAGTAGAAGGAAACAAGTGAAAGTGAAAATAAAGCATCCTCTCCAATTTATAGGAAGCTTGACTAGCGCGTGAGCGGGCACGCGCCTAGGGAAACCTAAGGGTCATCATCATTGCACCCTAGTCTCTAGACTTGCCATCATTACGCATATATGACAGCATGTGGCTCGACGCAAGCATGTCACGCTATCTCCCAGAGTCCAATCAATCATTCGGCTCCCTGCATGCCGAACACACGGGACCATGTTCGGTTCTATCGACACAGTTATCCCCGAACACATAGCGAAGCGTCCCCGTCTCCCACGACAAACACCAAAAAGCATTATCACCTCCTCGACATGCGGGCTGACTCTAAGTCATCACTTATACGCCTAGGAGAAACGACTTGGGGACTCATGTTCTGGACTGGACCAATGGCTAGGCATGGCCCAATCCGCTTCTACCTTCCACATGGCCCAAGAGCTTTGGCCCACTAGCTCTGGCCCTTTAGTCGGACATACTTGGTTGACTACACCCCATGAACAGAGAGACCAACGACGCCATGAGCCATGAGCCATGTGCCTTCTCACATCAATAACTATATTCAGGTCTGCTCGACCCATGTGGAGTAGACAACCAGGAAACATCTGTAACGCATCTGTCCATAATCTCTACCTTGCTCAGAGCAACTGCTAGTTACGAGCATGAATTCCCGTTTTGACTAAGTCGTGACATTTACCTATTTTTTAAGAACCTAATATCTAGGCACAAAAATAGGAATAAATGGTGAAGCGTCAGGGGCACTATATAAACCCTCAAACTTGTGAGGATCGGGTATCGAATATTCACTCTAAGAAACCCTAACCTCTTTCTTGTATCTCCTTGCACCCATTCTCACATGATCGTCGGAGTGCCTTGCAGGTGCACCCCCCTCATCTCCTCAATTTTCCAGCCTAACATATGTCATCCTTCAGCCCATTCTTAGGTTTCGATCAACCGGCAAGATCAATATGTGTGTCATTCATTTGCATGTTGATGGGGGTCTTCAGACAAACTTCTCAAATGGATTATTTTAGGATTTTGTGCAATAATGCAGGATGATTGTTGCTTAAACCATGTAGGAATATAGGTATGTTTTAACTAATCGATGCTTGTTTACCCATGCTACGAAATAGTAGGCATTAAATGCCCAATTTCGAAAAATATTATAGGTTAGAAGGAGACAAGTATTATCCAAAAATAAATATAAACTTAATTTAATAAACTTGCTCAAGATATGGTTTAACTTTAACGCAGTTAATAAACAAGTGAACATGAGCAGATTGCATTTTTTTCAGACAGCAATGCCCACTCGTCTTTCTAGAAGGTCAACTAGGACGAACGAAGACTAATAAGGTAAATTAACTTTTTTTCACTATAGTGAACTTCGTTTCTTATGATTCTTGGAGTCAATGTCACGTGATTAAAATAATGGGAGCAAAAATATAGTGTTTCTATATGCAAGTAGTGTGCCCATATTGATCCCTTAACTCTTGCCTTATTTTCCCTGATCGCTTTAAATCACCCATGAATCGTTCAAATAGATACATCCAACTATATTAAACAAGTCCACCAAGATAAGTTTCATAAGCAAGATGCATAGGGAGATGCTCTTATCAAAGAAACCGGGCAGAAATATTTTCTCCAACTTGCAGAGAATGACAGGAATATTTAGGTCCAATTTAATGATGTCATCCACTCTTAAAATTGACGCACAAATGTCTTTAAAATTTGACTGATCTCAGTTAGTGGGTTAAACACATGTTGGAAAAGTGAACTGAATGCAATTGAAAACAATCATTCCATGAAAACATAACAGTCGTGACTTTCATTCCATGCAACTTTCCAGTTTTGGCGTCAACACATCTTACAAGTTAAAAGAATAACCGTCAGACATTTTCAATTCATTTAACCACTAACAAACTGTTTTATCTTCTTCAGAAGTAAGAGTATAATTAACTTTGAGTTTTAATAAATTTCTATTTAGTTGAAGTGATTACTCCAAAAACCTTTTCGATTACACAAAAGTTCAAAGTTTCTAACCCTATTTCATATTAAATTACATATTGGTATAAAGGATTTGGATCATATATAAAAAATATTTTTATTAAAAAATTCATGGATTTTTATTCTATTCACTTGACTAAATAAAAAAAGGTTTGGGTCATCCTTCCACCACAATGATTAAATTGATCTACTAGTTGGGAACAAACAAACATAAAACTACTGGTTAGAAAAACAAACAAAAAAATTTCTTTAAACCCCATAATAATTGTGCTTGTTATAAAATTAATGACAATAAAAGTAAAATAATGAAGAATGTAGATATAAGAGAGAAGAGAAAATAACAGAGTTTGTATTCATTATCATGAAAGCATGTCCAACTCAAGAGTGTTAACCCTCTATTTATAGCCTCTATATGGTATACTAGTACTATAGAGTTACCAGAGTAGTAATAAAGACTAAAAAATATTGATTAACATCTAAATAAATGATATTCTTCTTATGTATAATTCTTAAACATTCATCTTCAATTGCAATTTTAATATCTACACCTAGTAAATTCTGTTATTACTATTTTGAATCCCTTAAGTTTTTTAAATTATATAGATCTCAATGTAGAGACCAGAAGAAACGAGAGCTATTAAGATTGATACAATGATTCGATTTTCAATCATAATAGTTTTTTATTCTTCGAGTCTCTGCATTGAATCATTCATTCAATCATAATAGAGAGGAATGATACAATACAACCATATGAAAATATACAGAAACTACTCAATATTAATTCCAAACAGAACCAATGCACAAAACAATCAACACAATATCGATATAAAATCAGAGAACTTTAAATCAGATTGAAATATATAAATATAATTCTGAAAGAAAAACAAGTAACTTATCACTCTATATCTAATATAATCATAAAAGTAAATATGTAATCATTCAAAAGCCCATTTATTTTCGCGGCGAAGTTCTTCCTCTTCCTCTTTTGTGAAGTCATTCACAATATTGAACATTTTGCGAGTCTCCTCAACAGTCTTACTAGCCACGATCTGTGCAATAGCCTGGCTTATAAGATCTAACAGACTCTTGATGTCCAAATAGTTTGCAGCCAATATGAGATCAAAGAGTGTTTGTTGATCAACCTTGACGAATTCAGCATCCCATGTCTTGAGATCATCATTGGCAGCAGGTTTTTCTTCAGAATTCGCAGCCTCGACGTGCTTCTTGCAGTACTCAATGACCTTTGCCAAAATCTGGCTGGTTACATTTGGAATAGGGATTCCCTCGCCATCAGCGCAATTATCTTCAATCAAATGCCTTAAAGTTTGTGATTCCAACGCCACTGCTTCGTCGACTTCAAATATATCACCATCACGACTCTTGAGATTGATCTTCTTTGCTGATGTTGATGCCATGATTGAACTTTGATTGTTGGATACTTTTCTTCTTCAACTTTTTTTTCAAAAGTAAAAACCCTAACCCTTGAAAGCTATAAACTAGTGAACAGCTTGATAGTATTTATATTGCAACTAGGGTTCGACTCCAGCGTAGCCAACAAGTTTTATTTATGGATTTGATTTGATTTGATTTTTAATCAAACAAATTTGTTTATTTTTCTATTAAAAATATTTAAAGGATTTGTTATCCGTATAAAAAGGGTATATAATGGATATTGGTTTTTTTTTTTACTTTTTCTGTTACAAATTATAAGTAGAAAAATATTAGTTTTTATTCTTTTTACTCATTTTGTTTTAAAAATACATATTTTTTCAAGTAAAATTATATTTAATTTATCCTCTCAAATTTTCTTGATAACTAATTATACTGTTTGTAGTACTTGTCATGAAATTTTTTAAAAGAAAAACACAAAATATCATAATTAAATTAATCATTATATTGCTTTTTCTTAAAATAAATATAATTTTTTTTAACTTATATATTGCAACATAGAGAGTAGAATTTTTTTTGAAGAATGGTTACATGATTAAATACAAAATAAAAGTGGTTAAAAAGAAATTGATACATCAAATATCGATTTTGCTAAAAGTAAAACAATTTTTAGAACTAGTTTGATTCACAATTCAATTATAACTAATTTAATTTGATTAATTAGAATTGTTCAATTATTTGATGATATTTAATTTAAAACTTAGATCAAATTTAAATAAAGAAGCTCAAAGGATCTAGTTTTATGGTTAAATAATGTAAATTTAGATTTAAAATCTTTTTCTAATGTTATTTGATCAACCAGGTTTTATTATTTAATTAATGATAACATTTTATAGTCAAATATAAAATATAGCTACTTTATATTTGAATATAATTATTCAACAGTACTTTGTTGAGATGATAAATGTCTATTTCTTTTACACTAATTTTGAGTTTTAATTGTTAGACGAAGCCAACCTATCTAGAGGGGTGAATAGATACCTTTTTTAAAATATCTAAAAAATCCTGTTTTAAGAAAATGTTTTATCGAAGAGTGACGCAGATATTTTTTTAAAATGTCGTCTTTTACGAATGTTATTGGAAACTCAGATATGCAAACACAAACACAAAAGGCAATGTGGAATAAGAAGGATATATGAATTAATATGCTTGAATCACTTTACAACTTATTTAACGTTTATCACAAATTACTAGTAAGGCTATTTCCAATGGCAACATTAATAGAACAAGCTAAATCAATTTATCAAACACTTGGTGTGTAAGTGAATTTTCAGAATTTTTTCTTGAGTTGTGTTGATACACAAAAACCAATTATAATAAAAAGTGATTATAAGCTATGTCAACACTTGATTTAAAATAAAAAATAATTTGGAAAATTCTTAGGATTCAATTGATAACACAATGCTATTTGACAAATTGATCAATGAAAATCAAAACAAGTAAAAACAAGAATAAAAAAGACATAAGGAATTTATCTTTACCGTTCCCTACAACCGTCCTCGCGTGTGGATACGTCTGCGTAGGGGTGTTCGCGGTGCGGTTTGGGCGGTTTTGAAGCAAAAAATCACCTGAACCGCAAGAGAAAAAATCATGCGGTTCGGTTTGGTTCGGTTGGCTTTTAAAAATAAATCTGAACCAAACCAAACCAAACCAAACTAATGCGGTTTGGATTGGTTCGGTTGGTTCGGTTTTTTACAAAAAAAATTATTAAGTCATACATACAAATATAGAGGAAAATATAATTTTGTGTTTAATTGTTCATACATTATCATAAAAAATTTATAATTGTCAAAATAAGTTTATAATTTGATATATAAAATTGTGTATTATAATTTTATCTAAATCTAAAGAATGATATAATCAAGATTGCATTCTTAAATAAATATTATACAAAGAATACGATAAAATATATTTTGTGAAAATAGTATTTATAAATGAATAATATTTATTTTTTTATGATTTGTAAATTAAAATGAATATAATACAAAGTATGATAAAATATACACATAATACATGTTTATTTCTCTAAAGAATTAAAGAAATATATATTGGTTAGTAAGATTCTATAACATAGTGCGGTTTGGTTTGGTTTGGTTCGGTTTGTAAAATATAAACCGCAAACCGAGCCGAACCGTGCGGTTCTGCGAGAAAATGACCCAAACACATCCGAACCAAATGCGGTTTTTTGCGGTTTTGCTTTGGTTCGGTTCGGTTTTGCGGTTTTCTATTGGGTCGGTTGGGTTTTGAACACCCCTACGTCTGCGCCTAATTCTAATGTAATTAGGATAATTCTTACTATGCAAAATTGTTGATACAAGAGAAGTGTTTAAGAGCAACTCAAAAATCCTAATGCTTGTTGTTGATTCAACTCTTTCTCTTTTTTTGATCTTGATAAATACCAAGAAACAATATATGTAAATTGACAACAGGATCTTGTTACTCCTTTGTGTTGTTTATCTTTAAAGCTTTCGCGCATTGTCTGTTTTAAACTATTGCAACACAAGACTTCAATTGTAATATTTTGTTCTCGTGTTGTTTCCTATGTGTTCTTTATCTCCAATAGATTTGTTGCATTCTTTATCTCCAAAGGACTTCACTTGACCGCAGTTACCTCTCGAACGTCTTGCACGAAAACCCCCAAATCAACCAATGATCTTGGAGGACAAACCTGATGTTTTTGCTGGATGAAAACCCCTACAATACTCAACCGAATACACAATTGGACACTAACAATCCTCGTCTAGATGGCACCCCAACTGAACATCATTACAATCTAATGTCAGTGTGTATGCATAGATTGAAGGTTGAAGATGAAGAGAGAAATATACTACTTTTATGATTTTCACCAAGTTATGAAATATGCATGAATGAGTATTTATAGTTTTGGTACTTTTAGGGTAAAAAGGATAAATTTCGGAATTAAAAGATTTGAAAAAAATTGACCAACTAAATAGTATGTGTCGACCTGTATATCGTATGTCTTGACACAAACTTGATTTTTATGCTATATTTATCGACCTGTATAGGTCTATTTGTCGACTGAAGAGAAACAGGGGCTACAGGCTTTAAAATGATAGTAAATGTGTCAATCTGAAAAACGGATGTGTCGACACATAAAATAAGAAGTTACGCAATTTCAGAAAAGCTTAAGTTTGTGTCGACCTATCCAATGTATGTGTCAACCTGAAACTTACAGAAGTGACAAGCTTTAAAAATATGTTGCATGTGTTGACCTGAAAAGTAGATGTGTCGACACATGCAGTACAAATTTATGCAGAAATCTGTTTTTAATGACTTGGATCAATTTCAAAATACTTTTTAATGATTCCTAAGACCTCTAATATAGAGGAGTGCCACAAAACAAAAGGATATTGTCAAATATACCAAAGTCTCGTTTTTCTTATTTTGACATCATACAAAACCTTTAATAACGAAGTTATACTCACACCAATGACATGCTGCAAGATTTTCAATTTATACAAAAGAAAAATATAAAATAAAATAAATATTTTTTTATAAAAATACGGAAATATAAATAATGCATTTCCACATCTTATGATTAGAATATTATGACCGTTATAAACAATAATATGATTAATTATAAGGAAGTGCTAACATGCGCCATTATTATCAAGTTTTAATAAAATTGATGCATCATTTTTAAGAGTTTTTTCTATATTTAAATCTTATATGTACTTTTAGACACAACTTAACATTAATTTTATTTATATTTAAATCTTACATGTGCTTTTAGACACAAGTTTGAGTAACATTAATATATAGAGTTCTTACCTCCATCGAAAAGCAATGTTTAGAAACGGTACTTTATAATATTCTTGATATGGATGTTTGTCATATTTTATTTGGTAGGCCTTACAGTTTAATAATAATATTACTTATTAAGAATGGTATAACCTCATATGAGGCACATAATTGTCATGGATCATATCCTACGTCATAGACAACGCGTTATAGAATGGTATAACATTTTTTTTCATAGATAACGCTTAAAAGCGCTGCCTATACTGGCGCTAATGATGGTAAAGACAACATTTTTTCTAAATGCAAAAGTGATGTCTTATGTCCTCTTTAGGCAACACTTCATTTTAAAAGCGCTTTCGATTATAACTTTAGGCAACATTTTTTTTAAAATCGCTTTTTATTGTCCCCTTTAGACAATGCTTAAAAAGTGTTGTCTAATGTATCTTTTAGGTCTGTTTTAGGTCTCTTTTAGACAACGATTTCTTTAAAAGCGCTTTCTATTCTCCACTATAGGCAGCTTTTTTTTTACAAAGTGCTTTCTATTCTCCACTTAGACAGTGCTTTTATTAAAAAGCGTTGTCTAATGTCTCATTTAGTAAACGTTTTTTTAAAAGCGCTGTCTATTATGCACATATGGCCGCGTTTGTTTGTTAAAGCTTTTGCATAAGTCTTATTTTTTATTAAAATAGCAACATATTTTTTAGAAGCACTGGCACAACATGAAAGTTTTTGATAACATGGAATATATACATCAGATAGTACTAGTTTTTGATATATATTCTAAATTTGCATATTACAAATATATCTATAACATATGGTTTTTATATATATTCCAAATTTTCATATTACCAATATATATATATATATATATATATATATCAACTCTAGCTAAAAAATTATGAACTTGTCTTCTGCAGATATCAACAACTTTTAGTAACTTGTTATCTCTATCTTCTAGACCTATATAAAACAAAGCCAACAAATTAAAAGGCATCATAATCAAGCTATATAACACATAAACCTTATAACCAATATAATTCAACACAAACCTTATAAATATTACGATATACCATTATACATCAAGAAAATCATATTTTATCAAGATTTATCACAAACCTTTATAATTTAACATAAACCTTTAATTCAACGCATAAACCTTATAACCTTATAATCATTATAATTCAACACATAAACCTTATAACCA